GACTGACTACAAACAACGGCATGACAAAGTAGCAACAATGGTGCATTGGAATATCTGCAAGGAATACCATTTGCCTGCAAGCCAAAACTGTTGGGACCACAAAATAGGCATAGTAATAGAAAATGAAGAAACTAAAGTGCTGTGGGACTTTAGAATTCAGGTAGACAAGCATCTGCCACACAACATCCCAGACTTAACAACTGTTGATAAGAAAATCAAAAAAGTCTGGATAGTGGTCATTGCAATACCTGGAGACAGCAGAAAAGAAGAGAAAGAACTGGAGAAAATCACAAAATATAAAGACCTGCATACAGAAGGAGAACGGCTGTAGCAAAAGAAAGCAAAGATAGTACCAATAGTAATAGGCGCCTTGAGTGCAATTCCAACACATCTGGAGCACCAGATGAACACCATCAACAATGACAAAATCACCATCAGTCCATTGCAAAAGGCAACTTTACTTGGAACAGTTTCCATCTTCTGACGATACCTTTAACACCATCAAACATCATTTGCCCATCCCAGGTCCTTGAGAAGGACTCAACAGGTGGACAAAAATGCCAGATCCAGACTAAACATCTGGCTGACTGTGCAACCAACTATAATTTATTAACTTGTATGCTGCCCAAGTCTCAATGACTCTGGGCAGCTCACAACAATAAAAAAAATTACAATCAAATCAATAAAACATAAAGGAGAAAAGAGAAAAGATGGTAAGCACAATGAAGCGAGGGGTCTCACTCTCCCTCACAGCTCTTCTAAACAAATTATATCTAGCAGCTCCCCTCACCAGGAAAGTGAGCAGATGCATTGTGAACAATTTTACTTTTCAGGTGGTCTTCAAAGGATAATTTCAAAATTACCTTTATTAGCTACAGTAAATTTTAAGGACACAAATAATGCAATAGTACAATTTTTACCGGTACAATAATGAGTGAGAGATAATACGGAGCTGAAACAATGTTTGACACAATGATCTTCCCATAGATTCCAATAAATAAAAAACATATATATACCTCCTGCAATATCAAGATAATACTTTAAAACTTTGTCTACTAAATCCAAAATTTTTAGAAGTTGGTACAACTCCAAATTCTAAGAAATAGTCTGCTAAGATTCTCAGTTCCCTTTGCCTTAATATACTCAACAGGAGACTTGTTTTTTTAGCCCTCTTTCTGTGCTCTCTTCTTCACTGTGGCTTTCTTCCTGATTTGGGAAAATCTAGACTACTAATGTGTACCTCCATAAATGGTTAAGCCTAAGAACTGATCATACCATTCATCAAGAGCTATTTTTCTAATTCTATTGAAAACAAGATCCCTCTAAATATTTAATATCAAATTTCATCCATCAAAAACTTCTGAATGTAAAAAACCTGGTATTTACATGTTCTGGTCCAGTTCAAACTTTAGCAGGTGGCATGATTCAATTTTGTACTTCAAGATTCAAAGGAAAATCAATTCAATTTAAGCCATTCTGAGTTTTAATTAAAAGCTTGGACCATAGAATGTAATGGAGAAACATCCTTTTAATGACTGCAGCTGCTTCATTTTTTGGCATAATAATGGAATGAAAATTACAGGACAGTAATTCCTGCCAAGTTTCAGCCAGACACCTTCAAGGATTTCACTACAATGAATGTATTCCCCATGCAACTCTTTTAAGACATTAGGAATGAGGAACAAATAGCACAGCAGCTTCAATTGTCTAGCAAGGAGCCTATAAAGAAACTGCACAGAATAAATGCATAAAGTACCCTACTTCAACTTAAAAATAAATACTTTCAAAAACTGTGGAAAAAGGAAGCTATTGCTTTTCCACCTGCTTTTCTGAGCTAGCCCACATACTGGCATAACACATAACACAAAGTAATACCAATTTACACTCTTTGGATGATGTATCTTTATATGTTCTATGCATTGTCTTTTGTCGTGGCTGTAACTGGTTGGCAAGCTTAGTATCTCAAGTATTTAATTTAGGCATTTCCCAAACTACAATATCCACTCAATAAAATACAAAAAGAAAAGAAAAAGAAAAAGAGTTATACTTGTTCCCAATAATAATATTCTACAAGACACAAAGAACAGAACAGTGCTTATGATCACCTATGGCTCTCAGCTAAAAACAGAATCACATAATCAAAGAAGTATAGCACATCCTGAACAATGATACTTTCCTTTCAAAGACATTGCACAATTGACCAAATAGGTATTAATCAGGACCACGCAACAATGGCACAAATACTGTAACCAAACCCTATGGAACACCCAGATGGCAATTCTATTCACATAGCTTGTTGCAACACTACATCAGGACCTAATAATATCGCCCACAAAATGAAAAGAACAAGAATGCTTCTTTTAAGGAAGTGAGAGGCATATAGATTTCCTAAATGAATAATTAAAATTGTTTTTTTTAATTACTGCTTAAAATCTTTTTTCAATACACGCATATATTACAACTGACTATCACTTGAGAGAAGTGATAAGCAATTCATATCAATTGATTAACATTTCATTAGCATAGCAAGTAACTTTCACTATCTAGAACAGTTTTTCTCAACTTTGGCAACTGTAAGATGC